CAACAACAGCAAAACTCCGTCTCAAAAAAAAAAAAAAAAAAAAAACCCAGATTCATCTAGTATTTATCAGATAATTTAATATTTGCTGTGAATATGAATATATATACTAATCTGAGTATAACTATGTTCCCTCCCTCCCTTTCCTTCTTTTACAAAAATCAGGACTTTGGAAAAGTTTCTAAAGTGTTTACTTAAGAGGTTTTAGGATCATAGGAACTGACAGAATCAGTATCTAAGCAACTGCTTGCTCACTTTTTCTATTCCTCTGTGAGTCTATTTAGGTCTCTTTTTTGGTGGAGGGTATGGGGAGTGACAGTGGGGCAGAGGACCTCAAACATTTCCCTGAATCTTCCATATGATCTTGTAGCCAGGATGGTATCTCAGTAATTCTCTCCCCAGCTCCCCGTAACTACCTCTGGACTCTGTTTTTTAAGTATTTATTTTTGAGACGGAGTCTTGTTCTGTCACCCAGACTGGAGGGCAGTGAAGTGATCTCAGTTCACTGCAACTTCCACCTCCCAGGTTCAAGTGGTTCTCCTGGCTGTAAACCAGCCTCCCGAGTAGCTAGGTTTACAGGTGCTCACCACCACACCTGGCTATATTTTTGTATTTTTAGTAGAGACAGGGTTTCAATATGTTGGTCAGTCTGGTTTCAAACTCCTGACCTCAAATATCTGCCACCTCAGCTTCCCAAAGTGCTAGGATTATAGGTGTGAGCCACTGTGCCTGGCCTATTTCTTAAGTATTTTATATGGTCATTTTACAAACTTAGAGCTGTGAGAACCAGATTAAAATTCTCTTGGTACCAATACAGACCTTATACAGACTTGTTTATGGCTATCTCTCCTCATCACCAAAACTTTAAATGGATAATGACAGATCATGCAGAGAATCAAAGAAGAAAATGTGGGGATAGTTCAGTTACAAAATACTAGCAATAAAAATTAAAAACTTCAAAACACACTATTCCATAGAGGATAAGGTCACATGATAATGTTAGTATTGAACTGTGACACTTAAAAACTGTTACAGAAACAGGCAATATCCTCTTAACAAGAAGTTATGAGTTACCAAAATCTTTCAAGGCAATACATAAGTAGAAAATGTTAAAAAGTCTAACACTTTTAAAACCAGTGATTTTCAAAGATTTAGGAACTAGAGGAAATACCACTTTGTATTACTGAACTCAGGTTATCTTTACACACTGTATTTCAACTGCATTTACTTAGATGAATTTAGAGTACCTAAGTAAAACAACTAGGCCAGGCATAGTGGCTAACACCTGTAACCCTAGCACTTTGGGAGGCTGAGGTGGGAGGAATGCTTGAGCCCAGGAGTTTGAGATTGCCCTGGGCAACATAGGAAGAACGTGCCTCTACAAAAAATTTTAAAAATTAGCAGGGTGTGATGGTGCATGCCTGTCGTCCCAGCTACTTGACAATGTGGTAGGAGGATCACTTGGGCTCGGGAGGTGGAGCCTACAGTGAGTTGTGATTGCACCACTGCACTCCAGCCTGGGTGACACTGGAAGACCCTGTCTCAAAAAAATAAATCTTTAAAAATAAAGCAATTTTCATAACCTGGTTTAGTCAGTAAGAAGTTTTGGTGAGCAAAAATAAAAGACTGATGTGAAAAGTATCTGAAAGTAAACTATGCAAAGTTCCATTACGTTTTAGGTTTACTTACCCCACATTCATAACACTTAGATTTATCAAAGTAGTTTCGCCTTCGGATGAACTCAGCTGCTCTTCCATTGTCAATAGCAATGCTTGCTTTTATCACTCTACCAAATAACTAAACCAGAGAAAAATGTAAATGCAGAATGTATTCACTCAAACCTGAAATTAATTATTTAATCCAATTTTCTCAAATTTTCAATTCCAGTTTATTTTGGATTATTTTAGAATTGCCACTTTGGTGTGATAAATTCTATTCTGTAGTATTCTTATTCCTGAGATTCCACCAATGTTTTGAGAACCCAGTACAGTTTTGACCGCTTTTCTTTCCATTAGTTAGATATCTTAAGAATCTACTGATACCTATTAGACCTGATGATCCATTACATCCCCATATTTTTGGTCTGGATGAGCATAAAGGCTTTGGGGCTGAAAACTCTGATGAACAGCTTACCTGTTTGTTGTTTATTGCCCTGGTACAGTTTTGTGCAGAGTCTTTATCCAAAAATAAAATAAATGCAACCCCTTTACTCTTCCTGGTATCTTTATCTTTCATTATGGTAACCCTTAAAGCATAAACAAAGAGTTAAAAATGAGGCAGCAATAGATAAAACAGATATGAATATTTGAAAAATTCATTTTAAAAAAGGGCTAAAAATTTACAAGAAAAATTAATACATACATTTGAAAAATCAGCTATCTCTTCAAAATCATGGGATACCAAGAATGGAAATGAGAAAGGGTGATACTGATTTAACAGAAGTGAGCACAGCTATGATTAGGAGTTAACCAGAGAAGTAAAGAGATTATAGAGACAATGGAATCTTGAAGAGTAACCATAATCCCTCTTCCATACTAACTCCCTCACCTTGCAAAACAGAACAAAATAAAGGTATACTTTTTTACACAAAAAGTAAAATGATTTACTAATTTTTTAAGTTAGAATCAAACTGTTATTTTTATTTTTTTTGAGATGGGGTCTTGCTCTGTTACCAAGGTGGAGTGCAGTGGCGTGATCTTACCTCACTGCCACCTCCACCTCCTGGGCTCAAGTGATTCTCCTGCCTCAGCCTCCTGAGTAGCTGGGACTACAGACGTGCATCACCAAGCCCAGCTAATTTTTGTATTTTTACTAGAGACAGGGTTTCAACATGTTGGTCAGAATGGTCTTGATCTCTTGACCTCGTGATCTGCCTGCCTTGGCCTCCCAAAGTGCTGGGATTATAGGTGTGAGCCACCGTGCCCGGTCTCAAAAGTGTATTAATATTCTTTTAAAGAATCTTAAGGGAAAAGAGAAAAAAACATCTCCAGTGCTCAATGTGGTGGTGAGCACCTGTAATTCCAGCTACATGGGAGACACAGGCAGGAGGATGCTTGAGCACAGGAGATGAGACCAGCCTAGATGATATAATGAGACCCAGATTTTTAAGAAAAATGAATCTCCAGTACTGTGGTTTTTAGCCACACCACACCCCAGGGTGTACCTGAGTAATAAGGAGAGTTATGAGAGCACAGAGCCTGCTCTTTCTCCTGCCCCGTACACATCCCTACTCCTGGAGGCCCTTGCACACCCTATGTCATTTATTTAACATTTTCTAATGTTTGAATTGCAGGAAAACAGATAATAGGACACAAGTGAATAAATAAATAGAAATTTTTTTTTTTTTTTTTTTTTTTTTTTGAGACGGAGTTTCGCTCTTGTTGCCCAGGCTGGAGTGCAATGGCGCGATCTCGGCTCACCGCAACCTCCGCCTCCTGGGTTCAGGCAATTCTCCTGCCTCAGCCTCCTGAGTAGCTGGGATTACAGGCATGCGCCACCATGGCCCAGCTGATTTTTTGTATTTTTAGTAGAGACGGGGTTTCACCATGTTGACCAGGATGGTCTCGCTCTCTTGACCTCGTTCCACCCGCCTCGGCCTCCCAAAGTGCTGGGATTACAGGCGTGAGCCACCGCGCCCGGCATAAATAGAAATTTTATTCAGCATAACGTTTCCCATATTAAAATTATTTTATTTGGGTTTGGGTTAAGGTACATATTAGTCTTTGGAATGAAACTGATAGAAAGATGCTACTATATTAAGAAAAGGGATGTCTAATGTCATTCAAAAAACAGAAACAGGTTGAAATAATTTAGGGCAACTTAAATGGTTTAGTTTCTCAAACAGTGTACCTGAATAGTCAATGTGCTTAGAAGGTAAGGAGAGGCAAGCACCCAAGGAAAGAAGGTTCAAATTTAGACTGGTTATCATCAAAGCACCACAGTTATGAGAATATGCAGGAGAGGTTTGAACCAATTTTGATAGAAATACTGAATACAGTAGTTGCTTTACATTTTGGAATTCTTCATAATGTTTGTGAAAGTTATAAATCTTTTTTTTTAAAGTACTATTCCAAAAGAAGTGTTAGCTTTCTATATCATCCTGAATTAATGATCTCTCATCTGTTGCCTCTTTTCCATTTCCACTGCTTTTTTCTTGTCCACAGGGGCATTACTGTTTCAACAGTCTATTCTTATTGGTTCCTTTATGCTAATTTTTTCTCTTATAATTTTGTCATATGCTTAAGTAGTCTTCTACTTAAGGAATAAATAAAATCACATGATTCCTTTCTTCAAAAAGTTTTGGTTTTATAAGTTAGCTATTCTTTGTCCCACAGTCAGCATCCTTGATGATTTGGCTCCCATCTCCTTCATCTTTCACTGCTCCTTCCCACACAAACTATGAGGTCTACCCAAAAGAAACCACTCAATGCTCCGGTAGCATGGCCTGTATTTCCCCAAATTTGTGCCTTTGTTCACACAGCTTCTATCTTCTTTCACTTCTGAATCACTGCCTATTAAAATTTTCCTCATTCTTTAGGGGTTTAGGCCAATATGTCAGTTCCTAATAGCTTCAACTGGATATAATTTCTCCTCCTTTATGCTAGTCTTTGCTGAATTGTGTTATTCATAATCAATGCCTCATTTCATCTATTTTAATGTAAACTCCTTTAAGACATATGTACTTGGCTTAAGATGTTGATTGATAGATACACCTTTATATTCAATGAGATAGATTTTAAAAAATGGGAAAAGCAGTTTCTAAAAGAATGCGCTGTATATGTTCATTCATTTGGTCATTCAGTCACTCTGTTAGCCTCAAACTCATGTGCTAAGCACTAACAGTAGTTTTTACCCTCAGGAAAGAACCTACAGTTTAGTGGTGGAGACAGACCTACAAACCAATATCATATAATAAATAGTTTGATAGAGATAACTTCTGCCGTAACAGAAAAAAAAAATCACACTAGCCATTTAAAAGGACAAATCCGTGACTCTCATGTTTCTGGGAAGGGAAAAGAGGTAGATAGTAGCACCATTTCCTAATACAAGGTATAAAGATGTACTTATTTAAGCACATAATATGAAGCATACCCTATTTTGGGAAACCTGAATGTCATCCATAACGCCTCCTTCTTGCTCACACAGTCCTTATATACAAAGTAAGCATATCACTAAATATCATCCACTTTGCTTCCTATACATATCACTAAGTATTACCCATTTTACCTCAATGATGGCTGAAATCTGACCACTTCTCAAATCTGAACAGTTTCTGTATCTCCACCTGTACTATTTTAGTACAGATTTCTCCCCTGGGCTACGGTTTTAGATTTCAGACTGGTCTCACTGCATTTGCTCTCCTTTTTCTTTTTCTCTCTAGCAAGTTCTGCCACCCAGGCTGGAGTGCAGTGGCATGATCTTGGCTCACTGCAACCTCTGCCTCCACCTGCCTTCCTGGTTCAAGTGATTCTCATGCCTAGCTTCCCAAGTAGCTGGGATTACAGGTGTGCACCACCAAGGGCGGCTAATTTTTGTATTTTTTGTAGAGATGGAGTTTTGCCATGTTGGCCAGGCTGGTCCTGAACTCCTGACCTTTCAAGTGATCCTCCCGTATCAGCCTCCCAAAGTGCTGGCATTACAGGCGTGAGCCACCATGCCCAGCTGCATTTGCTTTTGTTCCCCTCCAATCGAATTTCTACATTAAGCCAGAATAACCTTTAAAAAATTTAAATTATGTCACCCCTCACTTAAAATTCTTAAATCATTCCTGATTTCTTAGAATGAAAACCAAATAACGTTTATAACCTGGCCAAGAAGCAAGATGAGGAACCTGCTTCCATCTCTGGACCCATCTTGTGCTTTCTCCCCTTACTCATCTCCAGTCACATTGGCCTTCTTTCTAGTTCTTGATCTCACTTTATTTTCTCTTGCCACAGGGCCTTTGCATAAGGTATTTCCTCTACCTGAAATATTCCTCCCTTATTTTTGGCTACTTAGCTCTTACTCATCTTTAGGCTTCCACTCAAAGGATACTGACCTAGTTCCTTCTCTGCCTCTCCAGACTAGATCAAGTCTTCCCTGTTTCTAGGTGCTTATGACTCTGTATCTTTAACTCCATAGCCCTTTCATGGTTTAGGACTATATATTTATATGGATATCCATTCAGAGATTCTGACAAAGAGGTAAAAAAAAAAAAAAGATAAAAGGTAAAAGGGAATGGGCTCTGAAGTCTGTCTGTTGGATTCAAACATTTTCTCCACTACTAGCTAGCAAAATGACCTTAGGTTACTATGTGCTTCAGTTTAATCATTTATAATATTGAGATGATAATAGTACCTACCTTAAAAGGCAGTTATGAGAATTAAATAACATACATAAACTACATAAAGAGATTAGAACAATGCCTAGCATATACGTGCTCATTTAAGTATCACATACCATCATCATTACCAGTGTTTGGACTGATGATGATGGTGACTTTTCAAAATCTGAACATCCAAAAATTTACGCAGAAGCATTTTGATAATGATTTTTTCTTTTTTTGAGACACCCAGGCTGGAGTGCAGTGTTGCGATCTCAGCTCACTGCAATCTCCACATCGCGGGTTCAAGTGATTCTCCTGCCTTAGTTTCCTGAGTAGATGGGATTACAGGCGTATTCCACCACACCCAGCTAATTTTTGTATTTTTATTAGAGAGGGGTTTTACCATGTTGGTCAGACTGGTCTCAAACTCCTGACATTGTGATCTGCCTGCCTCAGCCTCCCAAAGTGCTGGGATTACAGGCGTGAGCCACCGCGCCCGGCTGATAATGATTTTTTAATAGCAAAGTAACTGTAAAAGAAGTTAATAATTTCAAGATGCCAATGAGCTTCAACTGTTTAACATCCATTTATGGAATACTAGGAGAAACTAGTCAAGATAAATATGCTGGAAATTCTTGGGATTTTACCTCAGAATGTATATTGGTTAAAAGATAGGATGATAGTATCCTGCTTTTACTTTTTTGCCTCATAACATAGTTGCTTGATTTAAAACAGTGAAATATGAGACCCTCAAGTTCTTTTTATCCTTCCTTAACCCTCAGCTCCAATTGCTGTTATCATCCATTACCATTTTTGTATGTTTCTAGTCTTTCCAATGAGCTAAGCTTTCTCCAAAGGCAGGTAATATGTTTTCCATTTATCTGTCTCATAGCATTCTGCAAGTCAGATGCACTGAAATATTTGTTTTCACACTATTTGAAAAATGTTAATCTACTTACAGTATACTTAATTACACACTTCCTAGTAATCAAAATATTTGTATACCATTAGATATGAGAATGTATCTTTATCGTACATGGAAAGACATTTATGATATATCAAATTAAAAAAAAATTGCATGTATGGAATACAATCTTTTTTTTTTTTCCCCATTTATTTTATTGCATTTTAGGTTTTGGTGGAATACAATCTTTAAGAAAAATTTTCCATCTACATGTTTATATAGATGGAAAACCAACTAAAATTGACATAAAAATGTTAATAGTATTATTTTCTTTGTTATATCAAGTATGTTTTATTTTTAAAAATCTACTGCCATTAAAAGAATAATAGAAAAGCAAATTCAGATAAACTTTTAAATGATGGTATAAAATTTAATGTGAATACTCACTTTACAACTTTGCCATACTTGGAAAATATCTGAAACAAGACCACATATTTACAATTTAATTTAAAATAATAAAAACATCAAATTTTCAGGTTACAGACATTGACCAAATTCTTTGTTACAGTTTATGAAAAATTTCAGCCTTCAGTGTATATATAAGGCAGGCCCTAGAAAAAAAAATTTTTTTGGTGACCAGAATAATATTCTTATTTTTATTGGAGTCACATATATCTGCCTCAGTTTCTAGACTTGACAATGGAGTGAATACAGAGAAAAAAACCCACTTTACACAAATGGTAGATCCAAGGCATACACACTGGATAGCTGCTGTGTTCCTGAGGTATGCCCATGGCAACTGTCAACTCCGCCATAGTGCCAGCTACACCTGTGCTTCAAATACCAATGTTATGGAGTAGCACTATTCCAATTCTACCCTCACCTCTACTTTGTTATTCCTATGAAGCAATCCCTGTTTGAGAAGACAGATCCTTAGACTGCTTTATTTAAAACAAAAACAAAAAACAAACCTTATATAAAAGCTTTTATAATGAAAAAATCCATTTCTATCAGTCTTCTTCCTCTGCCCACCATTAATATGTTAGTAGAACTTTATAGTTGGCTCTCCTGTTACTTTTACTTCATCCTATGCCATCTCATTTATTTATACAGTTCCAGCTCATTACCCATATACTACAAGTTCCAATTAAATAAAAAATCTTTTAGAATGTGTTAGTATATGCAACCAATAATAATGGATTTTTTTCTATGATTAAGCTGTATAATGCTGGAATGTCACATACTGTAACTGGATTGCAGTGCTAGCAACACTGGGTTCTGAAGGCCAGTACGGTTTTCTATATAATACTAATGGCCTCTCGTTTCACTCAGAGTGAAAGCCAGAGTCCTTACCATGATGCAAATAGGTCCTATAAGGCACTCAGAGTGGGCTTACCTAAGATTCCCCTTCTTCTCCTGAAATGCTTGTCCTCTAGAATCTGCACAGCTATCTCTTACTTGTTTCAGGTCTTTATTCAAAAGTCACCTTCTCAATAATGGCATTTCCCACCACCCTATGTAAAATTTCACCTCCATTCTCAACTTAACATTTAATAGCCCACCTTTCCGGCTTTATTTTTTCTCCTTAGCACCTAAAATCTTAGCATCTCATTAGTATTTAACATATAATTTGACTTTTTAGTATTTTGCATTGTTTCTCTCATGCTATACTAAGGGTACCAAGAGGGCTTTTTGTCTTCTTGTTCACCGATATGTCTCTTTTTTTTTTTTTTTTTTGTAGAGACGGCATTTC